AAAATGTGACGCGCAGAGGCTGAAATCAGGCTGCAATAACGTGCTGAAGCTGACCTGGCTGTTCGCTATTTGCTTCTAGGATGCTAGTCAGATGAATACTGATGGGTGCTGGTTGGCAGAGGCAGAATTTTTTTTCTTGCTTTCCCTCCCAAAAACTAAGGTGCATTGTATATTCCGGAGCATATTATACTCAGAAAAATATGGTAATTGAAATGCTGCTTTTGCATTGTGAGATACAAACCTGATGAATGAAAATTAAATCTACTCTTTCTTCTTTTTTTTCAGGAAGAATCTCGTGTCCTTCGAGTTAAAGTCGTAGCTGGAATAGACCTTGCCAAAAAGGACATCTTCGGAGCCAGGTGTGTATGCCATGCTGTTGAAATTGTTGTGTGATAATGGACAGTGGCTTTTATTTTGTGCAAGCAATTGTGAGTTTTGTTTCTCTAAAGAATGCAGGCTAGAAATTAATAAAGAATGCTGTGATTATATATCATTCTTGCTCTCTGATGCAGTTTCTTCGGGGTTCAAATGCCAGACCATAAAAGTGGTTCCCACTTTATGGCCTTTGCAGAGCATGTTAACGTTCAGCTGGTTTGGAAAACCTTTAGAGGCTGCTTAATTACGTTTCATAGAAGTGGGTTGGTAAAACATGTGATGTTGTTATAGTAACAGTCTTACCTGTACTTATGATATTGCAAGTTACAATTGCAGTTGGAACTCTTGCTAACAGTTGTGATTGTAATGATGTCACATGGCCACATTGCTTAGCAATGACAGTGCAGGCAGTTTGGGTTATTGTTGTATCTTAAGGCATGTGGTTTGTTAAGGAGGAAGTGGAGGAAGTCCCTGTTAAGGAATGCAGGGGGTGTCCCAGGGGGATGAGGAAGACTGTGTGCAAGTCAGGGAAAAGAGTGCTTGGTGTAATAGGAGCTCCTAAAAGTTAGGAAAAGAGGACGTGGGGGCATATAATGAGAAAGCCCATGGTGCGAAGGCTTGCCCCAGTGACTCACAATCTTCCCTGCAGGCTTCCCCTGCATTGACCCCGGCTTCCCAAGAGCATGAAGCAAACTTCTTGTCCCAAACTCATTTCATTAATTTACTGTGAATTCCTCTCATGCACATCCAGCAAAGTCTTTCAAGAGAAGATTTACAGTCACAGACCGTATCTGGCTTGGAGGGCTGCCAGGCTGATATCTGCAAAACTTGGCAAGGAGTCTCGGAGAGTCATGAGCCCATTAAGTGAACTAATTGCCTCCTGCAAACTCCACTCCCCTTTCACTCCTCTTTTATTCCCTCTGGGAGTGGCCTTTCATTGTCCACCTGTGGCCTTACTCCCAAGTCAACCCCTGTTCTTTAGCTGTTCTCTTCATCATCTGGCAACTCTGCGCATGCACACGCTGGGAACAGGCTCCAGCTGTTTGTCTGCCCCACTGATGTCTGACTCTGAAGGCAGCTGATATCTGGTATACTGCTCTGGCCCCAACTTTGCTTCCGACACGGAGTCCTCATCAGAGCCTTCCCCAGACTCCAGGACTGGCCTATGTTCCTCTCCATCCTCCTCACTATCCGAATCTGCTGCCTGTTCTACTGGTCGCTGGCGGGCCACAACATCCACATTGACTTTCTGGGGAAGCTGTCAGGGAATGTTGCAAATGGCCATCCCATGATCACGGGGTGTTTGGCAACCAATCATAAATGCAGGTGGCTTGCCAGCTGCCCAGATCGTGGTCATGTGACTGCAGGGGAACCACAATGACCATAACTTCAGGGTTGAGGGTTATAAGTGCCCTTATTCAGCATTGTCATAATTTCAGATGATCGCTGAACAAGCTGTCATAACTTTGAGCCCTGCCTGTATTGGATTTTGTTACTGATGCTCTTAGCTATCCCATTTACACCCTTTTGAGACTGAAGCCCCCTGAAGCACTTTTGTTATTGTTGAGATAATATGCAAATGTGTGTGTGTGTATCTATATCTATATCTAAATCTAAATCTATATCATATCTATCTATCTATCTATCTATCTATCTATCTATCTATCTATCTANCACAGTTAGAAAAGTGTCATTGAAAATGCCGGAAATGCTGGGAACGCTGAGAACACTGCCCAGAGGCATCGCCATCAGCGCAACGCCACCATCGCCGCCACCAACCGGCATAGAAGTAGACAACAGCAACAGCAACAGCAACAGCACTTAGTGGGAGCCACCAGAGAATTTGCATTGAAGGGAGAGGCCGAGCCGAAGGGAAAGGGGGAGGGGGGAGTGTCCAGAAGAGCTGTAATGGCTGCAGATGAAAGCAGTCACCCCCTCTCACCCAGTATAGTCCCCGACTGATCGCCTTCTCCGTGGGGCGCTGGATAGCCTGACGCAAATCCCAAGGCTCCTCACGGTCAAAAAGTTGCCATTGCAGCTGCCTTTTAAGCTGCCGGAAACATTGGAAACACTGAAGGCACTGCCCGGAGGCGCCGCCGTCAGCGCTGCATCGCCATCACCGCCGCCGACCGGCACAGAGACAATCGAGAGCCACAGCACCAAGTGGGAGCCACCCGAAAGTGGCGACCCCCCAGGTAACTTGTCTCTTCGGGTCCCCTGGAGCTTGCTCTTATATAGGAACCTCTCCTCACCCAGTTATCAGGTCTAAATCCATGGGTTTTCAGGTTCTTTTCGTCTTCTGCAGTCAGAGCAACAGGTTTTGGCAGCCATTCTCAGCTTGCACCGGCTTGGACCTAACCAGGTCTCGGCTTGGACCTAACCAGGTCCCCAACTTTTACTGCCAGTGAATCCAACAGGTACTCTGTCTTCCCTATGGCATACTTAACAATTCTAATCATCAAGAACATTTACTGTGGCACAATCTCACACCTTCCCCTCAGCTGTCCTTGAAGGCCAATTCAGAAAGATCCCGTACCCAGAGAGGCACTGTCCCTGTGACTCTGGACATGTAGCAATAACAAAACATGTACTTTTCCAATCCCTATACTACAGAGAGACTTGTACAAGTTTACTTTACTTTAGCTTAGTTTATTGTCACTGCATCTCGTACAACGAAATTAAATGCCATCTTCAGTGTACATTATAACTATAAAAATAAAACACAAACACACAAGCATCACTTTACCATTACTGCATAAATACCCAGGGCATATAGGACAATTTTACACTTCCCTGCTGCTCTCAGATACCAACCCAGGTACAACATATAGTGTTGCTAGGTTTTCTGCAGAAGCACTTAAAATATGTCGGAAGATAATGTGTGCCTCAAATTAATTTTAATAAACACCTAGACTGTTATTACAGAGTGTTTAATAGTATGGTTTTTTTAAAAAATTCCAACTTATTGCTTTTATTGTTTTATTCTTTTTAGGTGTTGTTAAATATATTTTTAGCTTTCTATGTAAGTTTTTTTTTTAAATTATGTTTTTCAATTCTTTCATATCCCCCTTCCTTATGCTGTTCTTTGAACATAATAAAGGTTGATTGATCACTCTCATAGTTTCAAATATTGGCAACTAATATATTTTTCTTAAGATGAGGGGCAAAATATTGGTGACCATTTGCTGAAAAGTAAATTTTTCAGAGACCTAGGATATACTGATCTTATCAGTTCCAGCTGAGCAGGTTCCTGATTTGCTTGAAAAATTGGCTTTTTAGTAAAAAGTTCACCCAGGATAAATCTACAAAAAAAGAGCAAACAATTGTAGGATACTTTGGGGCCAAACTAATAGTCCCTAACCCAAATACATCTTCCCAAGGAAAATGAAGCACTGGCTCAGCTTTATGGTATCGAAGTGTGCAACAACATATTATAAAAAACACTTTCCAGAGAAACTACACTTTTAGTTGAAAACCTAGAAGACCAAGGAATGCTGATAAGGTCTGGGAAAACAGAAGTAACTACCTAGAAGAAAATATATGTTCACCAAATACTTTGAACTCTTTCAAAACCCCAGTCTTCGTAGTCCTGTACCATTACCTCATAGGTACACTCTAATGGCCTCACTAACCCCCTTAGGCACATGCCTAAGGTGACCAGACGTCCCGCATTTGGCGGGACAGGCACGCTTTTATATAATTTTTCCCGCGTTGCTCGCATGGGCGGGGTAGCGTAGCGAGTGAGCGGGCAGATGGGAGGGGGAGAGAGCTCGCCTTTCCAGCCCCACTTCCACCCGGACAAGCCATGGGAAAGCCTCCACCTCTCCGAAAAGAGCTACCTGTGTGTGTGGCCCTCGGCGGGGTCTGGAAGCAGCGCCTTTCCGCCAAAGCATCCCTTGCGCACTTTGGGGGCCGGCAGGCGAGGCCCAGCGCAGCAGCCGGAGACTCCTCCGCGGGACCCCTTCCGGCTCCATCCGCTTCCCAGCCTGTCCCGTCTCTCCTGACTCCCGGGGCCGCCGCTTCTCTGAACTCACCCAAAAGACGGTGGAGTAAGTGACGAGCATGGGCGGGGTAGCGTAATGAGTGAGTGGGCGGATGGCGGTGGGATCGCCACCCGGGAGCCGCCAGAAGCCTTCCTGCCCACCACCGGCTGCACTGCAGCTGACTCGCCCCGGGTGGGCTGGAAGGCTTTGGGCGTCCGGGCAGGAAGAGCCGCGAGCAGATGGTGGTGGGATCACCGCCCAGGAGCCGCCAGAAGCCTTCCTGCCCAACACCTACTCTCCCCGGACTTGTTTTGATGAGCACGGGGTGACTGACGGTCGTTTGCACCGGCCGCGTCCACTCAAACTATCGTCAGTTGCCCCGTGTTATAATCTGGCCACCTTACACATGCCTGGCTATTATATCCAATCACATGTATATTCTAAATTGCCTAAGTCTAACAGGGTCTGTAACTGCACCCCTCTCTACCATGTCTCTGCCTCCAGAGCTGTCAATAACCCAATTTGTGCTTCAGTGCAATGTGTACTGGTCTCTGGTTCAAATGTACAGTTGAAATATTCTGCCACATAATCTGTACCTTTTCCAAATTATTTTGTTGCATAGTTTGTTAGCAAAAAAATGCCTTACCCACAGCTCCAGACATCAATGGCAGGTGTATATTGTTCCTCTCCTAGCAGAAGTTCAGGGGAACGGTACCATAAAGTGATAACTTTGTTGGTATATGGTCGACTAGGAAAACAAATATCTATTTTTCTCTAAAAATAATTTCCTATTAGACATTTTTTCAAATCATATCAAAATGAATTAAACCATCCCACAGGTCTTCTGAGCTCACTTTTCAATTGAATCAGATTTCTTTCCCATAATTTATCTTCCTGAGTTACTACTGAATTGCTGAGAGTCAGGTGAGCATATACATTTAATAAATTATTATGGTTCCATGCACAGTCAGCGAGATGTTTTATTGAGTCCTTCTGAAGGACCTGACATACAGGTGAAACTCGTGCAAACGTTCATTTATTCCAGTAATGTAACTTAAAAGGTGAAACTAATATATGAGATAGATTCATTACATGCAAAGCAAGATAGTTCAAGCCGTGATTTGTCATAATTGTGATGATTATGGCATACAGCTCATGAAAACCCCAAATCCACAATCTCAGAAAACTAAAATATTACATACAATCAATAAAACATGGATTGTACATAGAACAATATCGGACATCTGAAAAGTATAAGCATGCATATGTACTCAGTACTTGGTTTGGGCCCCTTTTGCAGAAATTACTGCCTCAATGCAGCGTGGCATGGAAGCTATCAGCCTGTGGCACTGCTGAGGTGTTATGGAAGACCAGGATGCTTCAATAGCGGCCTTCAGCTCTTCTGCATTGTTCGGTCTCATGTCTCTCATCTTTCTCTTGGCAATGCCCCATAGATTCTCTATGGGGTTCAGTCAGGCGAGTTTGCTGGCAAATCAAGCACAGCAATCCCACTGTCATTGAACCAGGTTTTGGTGCTTTTGGCAGTGTGGGCAGGTGTCAAGTCCTGCTGGAAAATGAAGTCAGCATCCCCATAGAGCTCGTCTGTGGAAGGAAGCATGAAGTACTCCAAAACCTCCTGGTAGACCCTGGACTTAATGAAGCACAGTGGACCAACACCAGCAGATGACATGGCTCTCCAAATCAACACAGACTGTGGACACTTCACACTGGACTTCATATTAGTTTCACCTTTTAAGTTGCATTACTGAAATAAATGAACTTTTGCACGATATTCTAATTTTTCGAGTTTCACCTGTAGGCAGATGTGGATGTTTTATGGTGTTAGAGGTATTGGATCAGGATATAAACTATTCCGAGTAAAGCTGCCTTTTACAATGGACTGATAGGGATGTTGTTAATGTCAGTGGTGTTCAAGTGATGCTCCAGATGCTTTGGGTTGGCCTCCAAGGTGCATAGTACTATTGATACTATCTTTGCTTTCTTTTGCAATAGTCATTCTACTTCTATTCACAGGTCTTTGTATTTTGTTATTTTCTCCTGTTCTTTCTCTTCTATTTTGTTGTCTTCAGGTACTGCCACGTCCACTATCCAGACCTTTTTGTCTTTCTTATCAACAATTGTTAAGCCTGGAGTGTTATGTGACAGGTGCCTGTCTGTTTGAATTCTAACATCCCAGAGCACTTTAGCTTCTTCATTTTCTACCACTTTGTCTATTTTGTGCTCCCACCAGTTCTTGCTTGCAGGCAAATTGTTGCTATTTTGTCATGTGATTGCTTGTAGTCAGTCTGTGCGATCTTCTTGCAGCAGCTAACTAGGTGCTCCACTGTTTCTTCAACTCCTTTCAGAGCTACTGTCTGTTGCTACCTTCTCAATTCTGGTTTGAATGCATTTGTTCTTAAGGCTTGGTCTTGTGCAGCCAGAATTAGCTCCACTTTCTGTTTCTTCAATTTTACTGCTCTTAGCAGTAAAAAAAAAATCTCATATAAAAAAACAATGCAAATTTATTTGTTCTTTCCAGGGTTCAGTTTCAGCCTGTTGCTCCCCATCCAGCCCTTAACAGTCTCCAAGCACTGTGAGAGGGAGATCATAGCATCACTTAACTCACCATGGGCTGAGACACGTAGCTGGGCATCATTAGCATATTTTATGATATCGCAGACCATGGCGGTGGATGATCTCACCCTGTGGCTTCATGTGGGTGTTAAACAGAAGCAGAGAAAGTACAGAAGCCCTGTGGAACCCCCATAAAGCAGGGGACTAGGGCCAGACCTCTTGTTTCCTATCAACACCGAGACCATAGAGGAAGGAAGTGAACCAGTTCAACAAAGAGCCCCCCACTCCCAACCCCCAAAGTTGCTGCAGAAGGATACCATGGTCAATGGTATCAAAGGCCAAGAGGTCAAGTAGAGCAAGGCTGGATGCACTACCTCCATCCCGCTCTGGCCAGAAATCATCAAAAACCATGACCAATGCCATTTCCATCCCACATCCAGGCATGAACACTGACTGGAAAGGGTCCAGATAATCCACTTCATCCAGTAACCTCTGGAGCTGCAGCATAACCACCTTCTCAACAAACTTCCCCAGAAAAATTATCCAATAGGGTGGTGTCTAGCAATGGCTTCTTAAGAAGAGGGCAGACCACAGACTTCTTGAAGTGCTGGTGATGCAGGAGGGGGTGCACAGGTAAACCCACCAGTGGTTGACCAGGTTAGGTGATTCTAACATGCTGAATATTATAACTTCTAATATGCTAAATATTAAATCAAAGCTCACTTTTGGGTTACTGGCCTAAACTTCCTCTTTTCCTATTGCAAATATTATGGAACATAGAGCAAGCTTTGCACAAGAGTGGAACAGGAAGGACCATGGCTGTAAGCATAAATCAAAAATAACTATATGACAGCATATTGCGGGCATTCTATCAGCAATATTTTAGCATTCTATCAGCGATATTTTAGCAATATTTTAGCAATATATCCTGTCTGTTTCATGAGTAACCAGATTCACTTCCCTATTGTAACTGGAAACTTCTGGGAACCTTCGCACTTGTAATTTCCCCAAAAATGTATTTTACTGACCTCAGCAGGGGCTTTGACCCCAAAATGTATACGCCTATTCTAACGCCTCCTGATTTACAATGTTTGATTAAAAAGTATAAAATCACTGCCAGGGGATAGCCCCGGCAGTTCAGTCTTGGTGTCAATCACACTGAACTCTGGATGCGTGCAATAAACCTGTCTTCTCTTGGAACCTTTGTGGTCTCGAGTCCTGGTCTTTTGTAAGTAGATTGCAAAACCAAACCTTCAATCTGCTGCAACATTTCTGGCGAGCCAGCCAGGAGTCGAGGGGTTTTTGGGAACCCTCTGGAACGACCCACCCCGGTGTCGGGGCTCATCTTGTCAGGGGGAACCTCCCTGGTGCCAACAGACCCTTGATCCGAGGGACTTTCCAGCGACAGAGGGCTCCAGCAGCAGCGGTTGGCGATTCCAAGAACCACCAGAGAAGGACCAGAGACCAGGTGTCTGCTGAGAGCTGGCCAGCATTGCAGGAGGGAAGCCAAGTACAGGAGGCAAGTACTGTGGGAACCCTATTTAGGCCCGGACTCCTTGTTGAGCCGGAGGTGAGGCCTGATCTCCCTTGCTGGGTGGAAGGTTTTGGGGGTGGATTGTCTAGTGTATGTGTGTGTGTGATTGGAATCG